TAGAATATATAGAATATATATAGAATATATTGAGTGATATACAAGACATTAAATATTCTCATAAAATTTTATTTATTTATTCGAATCTATTCCAGTATTCCAGTATTCCAGTATTCCAGTATTCGAATTTTTTCTTTTTCTTTCTTTCTTTTTTGTGACGAATTATCAAATTTGGAACTATTATTCCATTATGGTACCTAAATTTACACCTTCAAAGTGCCACATTAAACTTTTTTACCAATTGAACTCGTGAATATACATTGAAACAATTCACGATCCTGAGCTAAATAGTAACTTAAGTAGGACGCGCGTAAATTTTTCTTTGGCATTATTCGTGAAACGAAACAAAAGAAAGAAAAAAGATACTTACCCCGCACTTATTGATAGAGATGCATTGATACCATAGTCATTACAGGTTTGCACTTCAGAATTTGTGAATGAGAGTGATAAAAATAGAATTAAACAAAGAGGATGAGACGAGTAAACCTACATTAAAATAATATCATAAAAAGAGTGTGAAAAAAAAATTTTATAGTAAAATGGCAGTTATTTTTAATGCACATATCTGCAAATTGATGTTTTAAGTATAGTATGTTTTAAGTATAGTATGTTTTTAGATTCTCTGGATCTAAGTGGATGATTAAACGGTGATTCAAGCTGACACCGAGTTTACTTAATGGATTTGGCTATAGTCGACTAAATTATCATAGATTTATTGATGCAGTGCAAAAAAGACAAATTTGTCAAGTAAGTGCAACATGATAATCGTACGCGTGAATCAAAATCAGCTGCTGCAATCTATAACACGTAATATGCTATTTAGTAAAGAAAATTTTTTACTCATGCTTCTAAAAAAGTTATTAGGAAATTTTTTTTAAAAAAATTTTAAAAAAATTTACAAAACAATATCAAAAAAGAATAGTAAATATTGTTCTCTTTCTGGATAACTTTTACAAAGCGGAAAAACTCAAATTCTTAAAGGGGTTATATGGATGAATTTATTCGGTTCGCGAGTTGGGGACTCAACTCCGATAACGCCAAAGTTTTGGAATTATGCATCGTTACATTAGTAATTTTATGAAAATAAGGAGTAGTAACAATAGAATAAGTAAACCATTCCTAAAGTTTTTCAATAAAAAAAAATCCGTATATGCAAGAATCATAAATTTATCCCGCCCTTTTTCTAAAAGTTTCGGTTTCGCATCCTTATTATTAACAAAAATATATGTTTACACGATATTATTAAATATATAATAATCAAATACTGTAATCAAATACTGTAATCAAATACTGTAATCAAATATTGTAATCAAATACTGAAAAGAAATATAATAATATAATAACTGATAAATTATATTAAATTATATTAAATTATACGTAGAATTTTTTTTTTTTTTATTCCAGTATAATTTATTTAATATATTTATTTAATATATTTATTTAATATATTTATTTAATATATTTATTTAATATATTCGGGCATAAAAACTCCGCAGTAGATAAAACCCTTGTTTAAACATGTCTAAATACTCGTTTTAATAAATCTTTTTATGTACTAGAAAATAATACTCATTATTAATCATTATTATTATTAACGTTAATGATTAATAAAGTACAGAAACTTGAGATTTAATAAATGTCACATCACAATATAAAGAAATTCTCTCTTTGTTCAGAATATTCGGTCACGTAATCATAGCATACATTTACAATATACTTTATATGGATGTTTTGATTGTAAATCACCCTATTATAGTTAATAGTACTAGCTTCTTTTTTGAAACGAAAGATACTTACTGTATGATTATATGATTATTATATGATTATTATATGTTTATTATATTATTATACGATTATTATATTATTATTATTATATGTTTATTATATCATTATTATATGATTATTATGATAATTATGATTATTATGTTCAAGTTAGGTAGTCTTAATCAATTCTCCTTGAAAAAAAAATTTTAAGGGGCACTTTAAAATAATTGAATCTTTACGCGACCCGACTAATTTTATTCAAAACCAAACTGAAAATGGTAGTTAGTTTGCATTGGCTGACTATAGATAATTACGATTTTGGTTAAGATTAATTCATAAAAAACTTTATCATTTTTTCTTCATATACTCTTTTGGTGATGAAGTATCACGTATGATAATGTTCCGAAAATAAATCGCTATAGTCCGATGAATATTTATTATTATCGTGGCGTATCTGATTAATTGTAGATTAAAACTGTATAAACAAAGAAAAAAAGAAGAAAAAAAAACAAAAAAAAAGAAAAAGAAAACATAAACAAACCCCTCTTATATAGTATACAATGAGAAATTACGCAGGTTTTTTCTATTAGTATTTTTTCGCGTTTTTTTTAAAACAAAAATTATTGGCAATGGAAAATTGGTACGTTAAACTCCGTTAAAAAAAAAAAAAACATTGATCATGAGATTCATGGCGTGAATGAACGACGCCTTCGCTCGTGGGAGAAAAATCACAAAAGGTAAACAAACTACGGGTTTTGGACTCTCTTTTGAAAGCAAAAAATTCCAAAATTGACAAACAAAGAAAAAATGAAAGTAATTCATTGAACTATTAATTCGTATACGTTGTGTACGTGTACAATGATTACGCATATTTGCATTTTGTACAATGAAGACGTGTTTAATCGATACTTTATCGATAATGAATCGGATTATAGGGAGTAAGAGAATGGTAAATAAGTAAGCCATGTGTGCGTTCCTTTACTATGTGTTAGTGTAAAATGTGTTGTGTAAAGAAGCATTTTCCATTCAGAATCATATATTTACGGAAGACGGATCTTAATTCGTCCGTGACTATCATTATTTCAATATATCACCTGGTCACGACACGAACATGGGGACCATCATGTATACTCCAAATTTGGTAAACATTATTTAATTTTGAACTGAGAATTTTTTTTTTTTTTTTAACACTAATATTATTAAATAATAATAATAAATAATTAATTATTTGAATTAGTTTAAAAATTTTTTTGTACAATAAAATAAATGTAAGATGATATCAAATATTTTTCTCGTGGAAGTTTCGCTTTAATGTTTGGTTTATCACTTTAAAAAAAAAATATTTGTAAACAACTATGTCATATATAATCAATCCTCAACATTATTACCTTTTATTGGTCCCTGCATGATAAATTTATGATTGGTTTTGTCATTATTATAATTTAATAAAGTTAATGAAGTCATATATCTTGGGTGTTACTTTAAGGTGCTTACGCTAATACCATTTGCCATTCTAAATTTAAAAGTCATTTAAAATCATTTAAACTAGTAATATTTTAATTACCCATGCATATAATGATATGCTCATTTAATGTATGTAACGTTAGAAAACGTAAATATATATATATTTATATATTAATCTTATATTAATCTTATATTAATGAATTAATTTATATTTTTTTTATAGCCAATAGCGTGAATTCCGTAGTAACCCCCTATTATATATTTATGCAGGGTTTTTCATTGTAAATATTCTTCAAGGTGTTTTTTTTAATAAATAAGTACTACATAAGCTTGTGGCAGGTGATCGTTTGATTTCTTTTAGATCATTTAAAAAGGTTATGACTAATCCGTATATAAATAGAATTTATATACCATCTATGGTTAAAATATATTCCCAAACTTATTTTTTATTCCTATGCACTAATTCGATCTTGAAGGGATGATAGAATGAGCTTACTGTAAGTTGACAATGGAAAATTGTATTTTACTTAAATTTTTATAACCTAAAAAATTCGTACAAGATCGTTCTATGTATAATTATCCCCCTGATGATACCATTTTAATCAAATACCATTATTTTCTGTCCGGTCATACATTGAACAATGCGCTTCCATTGTTTATCGATAAATATTTTGATGATTAAATGGTGTTATAAAGAAAGAATGTAAAAAAAAATCATTTCGTTTATATGCGGGGTATAACTGTACATAATTATCAACGTATAGAATTTAATTTAATAAAAAGAATTTTTTTTTTTTTTTTTTTTTTGCTGATGTTTAGAAAAAAAAAAAAACAGTTTTAAATAAATTTTTATGAATAAATGCTAAGCATGTTAATATGTATCAAACTTCTATGCTACCCGAAATGGCATGCCTGATGATAGCCAAATTTTCAGCCAACTCGGCTGATTGTCGACAAACATTTTTTTTTTGCATTAAAAGTAAATGCACGTACGTACTGTACATACTGTGTACATATGCATAATACCTATTGTATATTTATTATATACTTAATATATACTACTATAAATTTACTGTATATATACAGTATATGATATCAGCTATATCTTTTTACTACGGTTAGAGATCAAAGAGATTGACAGCCATTTAATAACCGCTAATAACCGTCATCAGTAACCGTTTTCATTCGTCATTTTCCGTTACTAATACCTTATTTGGTATTAAAGAATTTTGCCGAGTGCTGGAGTGGAAAAAATCGTGGAAAAAATCGTGGAAAAAATCGTAAAAAAAATTTTTCGAATACAAAAAAAGAAAAAATACTTGAGAATATAGTAAACCTAAAAATTCTAAACTTTGAAACTTTCTAGATTCTAAATAAGTTGGAAGTTATTATTTGAATGATTTTTAACTATAAAAGACTATAGAAGACTATAAATGCTATAAAAGACTATAAATGCTATATAAAATGGCTATAAAATGAAATATATTTACTTCGGACTTTTTATATTATTAAATTTCTTTATGATCATATTGATATGAATACTTTAAAAGTAAAGGTTACCGTTTTAGTAAATATTAAAAAGAATGTACATGTAAATAAAGTACAGTAACTACATAAAGCAAGATCTAATTTCTGTTTACTTGACCTAATTAAAGTCGAAACTGGATTTATTAATTTTTCATATATTTGATATCAGATATAACCGTATAAACAAATTCACATTCAATTAATTCAGTAATTCGAACTTGATATAAATCAGGCTCCATTACCCTATGAGTAACCCTATGAGTAACCCAATGAGTAACCCTATGAGTAACCCTATGAGTAACCCTATGAGTAACTCTATGAGTAACTCTATGAGTAACTCTATGAGTAACTCTATGAGTAACTTTTATCAATCATATGTCTCACTTTCCTCATAGTTCACTCCCATAGTTAACTCTCATAGTTAACCCCTATTTACTACTACTATTATTATTATTATTATCGTTATTATTAATTATTATTATTAATTATTATTATTTACCGGCCATACCAGTTTATTGGTATTGGTTATGCTGCACCTCCTTCGGTCGATGCTATCCGACTTGAATGATATACCAATCCACTGGTCCCCTTCGGAATAACTGGTGTTATCAATTGAATGTAATATATGTAATATATTATTCTATTGGTTATGCCGTACCTCTTTCGGAACAAAAAATTAATCGACATTTATTAATCAAGATTTATTGGTTATCATCGTTACCTTTGGAACTCTTGACCAAAATCTTAAAATATCGATAATCATATTGTATAAATTCTTGATTTTCACTTTACAAATATATTTTATATGTACGTACGTACGTATATCTTTATAACTTTATTTGTTATAAAAAATTGTTAATGACTAAGATGTATGTATGCTAATAAGTTCTAGGATTAAATGATTATTCTTTTGTTCGAAGAAAAAAAGAAAAATAATGATATCATTATTTTTAATTTTTTTTTTTATTTCTAATGTTGTACAAGTATTCTAATTCCAAATAGGTTCTAAATTTACTCGATTAAAAATAAAGTTTTTTTAAATTCTTATTAATGATTAAAGAGTTCCGAACCAACCAACTTAAAAGTTAAATTTTTCGAATCTATTTAATCTATTTTAGGGTTTCATATTTTAACTCCTAGATAGAACCTTATGCCAACACACGATGACAAAGCCATCATAAATGTTACATAAATTTCCTTTTGACGAATTATTAGCATTTAGAAGAGACACCAATCCCAGTATGTAACATTTAGACAATAGTCATTTACGCGATAAATTTTTTACTAAAAATTTTTATTTACTTTCTGTACGTACGTATAATAAAATTCACTTCAATTCATTAATTTAAATTCACTTATGTAAGTTTACTAACACATTTAAGTTAAGTAAAAATTGAATTCCTTAAGAAAGTTTAATTAGAATTTCATTGTAGATTTACTGAATTCGAAATAAAAAAAATTTTACGTATTTAACTGTACGCACAGAATAACAGATAGTAATATACATTATGACGCAAAATGGAAAATTTCACCGGAGTTTTAAAAATTGTTGCACAATTTTTTTCCTAAAAAAAAAACAACAACATACGTACGTATGTTAGAACTTTCAGGGTACAATCTAGTGTTAACATTCTCATAAGTGTTAATAATCGGGGCTAAATAAATTATACTACGTACCGGACATTATTCCTGAGAGGTACAAAATTTACTTTCCGTTACACTAATCAATTTTTGCTTATGTAATTTTATTCCAGACCATGCTACGTAAATGACTGTTATAAAAAAACTTTAATGATATTATTAAATTATTAAATTATTAAATTAATATTATTATACATTGTTTTCAATAAATGAAAAAGAAACAAATTCTATATTAATTTTTTTTTTTTTTTTTTTTATTATAAATATTTTAGTTAGGTCATATAATTTAATCGTGTGATCAAGTTTTAGTCATGAAAAAAAAACAAATCGAATGAATGAATAGGTTTATAAGTATATAGTAAAGTTATAACCCACTTTTTTTGAGGTGTATGGTTTTCTATATAACGATAAATTAACTTTTATCCTGATATTAGTGTATATATAATGTGTATACGTATAATGTGTGTATACGTATAATGTGTATATACTACGTATATACGTACAATTATAACTATATATTATAGTATTATTATGATTATGTAATACAATAATATAATGTTGTAAAAAGTTTGAGCTTAGCCTTGAGATCGGGATTTGTAATCACACCTTAATTTGTCGAACAGATAAAAAAGGCACCCCGGACTGGTTACGTAGGTACGAATGAATCGAGTGCGTGACAATGTAAGGTAAATCGTAAAAAAAAAAAAAAAAAAAAAGCCTTTAAATTTTATCACGAGAAATTTGGGCTTTGTTTTCTTTATTAATTATTAAAAATTCTCATGATTTCAATAAAAAATTAATCAATAATTCGATTATTTAGAATAAATAACGACATCATACACAAGTCATTTATCATTCATTCTAGTTAAATGCTATAAAGTAATAAATATTTAAGAAAGGCAGATTGATGCATATGCATGATATCATTTTACGTTTATACAGTTTATTGAATCAGAACAAGAAAGCTGATTGGCTCAGCGAGAACGCCAGATATTAGGTAATTGTTTTTAGAAAATGTACCAATAAATCATGAGGATGAAATTGTAAGGAAATTGAGGAGTTCGGACATTTGTAATGGATCGAAGATGCATATAATGCAAAGCTGTTTTTCTTACATTGTCACCGTTTCAAACGGATAAAATTATTCCTAATCTGCATATTTTATTTTATTTATTTTATTTTATGTTATTTTAGTTTAGTTTATTTTATTTATTTTTATTTTATTTCATTTTATTTATTTTTCTTTTATTTATTTCTCTTTTATTTTATTTACTTTCTTTTATTTTATATATATATTTATTTTTATTTTTTACTTTGAACTAATCAAATTCTTATCTCAAACTTCGCGTATAAATATTTTCTTTAAAATCTGATGGCGTAAAGAAATATTTTGCTATTCAGATGAACTGCTAGATTTTAATTGGTTCAGTTAACTTACTAAAACTAGGTTAGAGATCTTGGTCAGATTTTTTTTTATGTGTCCAAAAGTTTAAATATTTTGTTTGACTAAAAACAGTTATAGAAATTCCTTTTATTTACCCCAATACATCTCAATATATTGTATTAGTACTTAAAGTACTTAAGTAAACGTTGTTCTATATAATAAACAGGTTTGGTTTGTCTACACTTCCTTATCTTCATATCACGCCAAGTTATATGTTTTTAAACGTGATTCATGTTTATATGGTGTACAGAAGACCTAGAGAAGACTATAGAAAACAAATATAGTCATACACTTGTATACTATATGTATCAGCATACCCGTGTTAATAATTATATGAGAACTATGAGAACTCTTTTTTTCTTTTTAAAAATAATCTTTCTGATTATATTTTTTTGATTATATTTTTCTGATTATATTTTTCTGATTATGCAAAAGTTTTTAACCCAATTTTACTATAAGTAGAAGCTTTATAACTAAAATAAATAGATCTATTAAGCGCATTAAAATAAATTTAAATAAATTAGAGAGACAATATGCGGTATTGCCCGCCCAGTGTCACGTGATAGCCCAAATTGATCAGAATTATCTTTTAAGTTATATTAAAAAAATCATTTATGTGAAACAGTTTTTTTTTTTAAAAAAAAAATACAGTAATATGTAAACATTATATTTTAAATTATATTTTACATTATATTTTTTATACAGTATTCTGCACGGTTCACGTTCATTTTTGAAGATAAGTATAATTGATATTGATATCGTTCCAAAAATTATGATTAGGGTGATTGGCGTACTTTTAATACCCGAACGGAGTATTCAACTAATGCAAGAAAGAAATATTTATTTATTTATTCTCCGCCAAAT